GTCCACAACCCGGCCAGCACCAGGACGGCGCCTCGCCAGGAGATAGGCCGCTTGGCCTGCGACTTGACCATGGTGAGTCTGTGCAGTGCAATGGCCACCAGTGTAGAGAGGGACATGAATGTGCAGGTGGTGCTGAAGAATACAAACACGTTACAAAAGGGTTTGGCCAGGCTGGGCGCCGGGTCACGGAACAGGCAGACGGTGAAGGCGGGAGTCACCACGGCACAGGCGATAAAGTCACAAACGGTCAGGTCGAAGATGAGCAGGTCGAAGCCTGTGCGCAGCTTCTTTCCCCAGCTCTGGAAGGCCGACAGGAAGATGACGGTGTTGCCCACGGTCCCTACCAGAAAGACGGCCACCAGGAGAAAGGTGCTGGCCACCAGGGTGGAAGGGTGCAGGTCGTCTGGTCCGTAGGGCAGGGAACTGGAGGAAATGTCATCGCTGGCGTTGGCGGACCAGTTACGGAGCGCACCTGGCATGAGGGGCCCTCTCACTGTCGTCTGCGCTGCCTCTGGATCCATCTGTCGTCTGAACTGCAGCAACACAAAGACTACATATGCATAAACAGCAGAAAGGTACTGTGCATGATTAAGAAACACATCCTCTGTAGTTAACACAGGATCTCTCACCACGGGGTGGCAAGCGAAAAGAGAAAGCGGGTGGTAACTACGGAGCTGAGGGTGGTACCCAGGCTATACGACATTAAATATGCCTAGTGTAAGGCAATTGCTCCAAACTATCATTTAAACACTGTCCACATCTAGAAAGTTGCAAAACCTGGTGCCCTAACATTACACGCTTTTTCACGCGCCGGTGTGACGGAGATCTCGCACCCCCTGATTTTGCACCCCCCCGGGGCGAGATCACTAGCGATCTCGAACCCCCCGGGGCGAAATCGCTAGCGATCTCGCACCCCCCAAGCTAGTGTTTTCGCACCCCCCCAAACTAGTGTTTTCGCACCCCCCGGTGATCTCGCACCCCCCGCCAAACATTTTGAAAATTGTTCTGTCTGCCCGGTATATAGTTGAAACTGCATTTTGGTGGATAGTACTCAACCCACTTACCAACTCAGCCAACAGTACATATGTAATGGTATTGCATGTCTATGACCAATTAGTACCTACAGTTCAAATGTGGCGAGTGTACGTCGTCCTGATTGGATAAAAAAAATCATGTGACATATTCCCACCATCTTGCAAAAGTTAGCTGTACAGCACACTAGTACTGTGCACGTGAATGCTATTCATATACGCGATTAAATTAGATCGCTCTTCTGTTACTTTTCCTGTTACTGTTGAGAGGATTCTATGGAAATAAAATTTGAATACATGTAATTCAATTTGGTGTCTTGTATTGCCTCAATAACCGAAGGAACGTACCCTTGCAGTCAAAAGAACATGAAAGGTAAACAAAAATGGATTTGTGCATTATATACAACTAGAGTTCCACGATCTCATACCTTCGCCAACTGATGTTCACCTTAATTTATATTAGATTATGCATATGAGGTCTTAATTTGAATAAATTATGTTTAATGATATTCAGCTTTGCTCACCCTCCAAACGCCACAAACATCAAATTCCTGGCAGTTAAAAACAATGAAATTATAGCTTTTTCTTATGAATTATGCAAATTAGCCCCTAATTTACATAATATTATATGGCCATGTTCCTCTCCTGTCCAATTACACATGTCACAAGTCTGAATAGTCCTATCATGGCATGCAACAGATTTATAGAATATCCTCATTAACAATGCAAATTATATCCTTATTTGCATAATTGTCATCTCATTATGTCAAGCATCATCTAGGCTGCCTACATACCAAAAATCACAATGATTCCTCAACTGGTTCTTGAGTTATCCTCCTTTAAACATTTGAACTTAAAGTCCCCTGCAGTTCCCAAACAAGCTGCTAGGGGGTCCAAACTTACGTCACTTATTCCCCAGGGCAAGAGCTATCTATCATGCAAAATTCATGACCCTAGCATGTTCAGATCACGAGATATCAAAACCGGACGTTCTGCTGCAGTACCATAACAAGCCGCTAAGGGGCCCAAAATCTAGTCATTTCGAGGTCTCATCAAGACCAACCCACCTACCTAGTATCAAGACAATATATTCAAGCGTTCTTGAGTTATGGTGGTAACAGGCAGACAAACAGACAGACAGACAGACAAACAGACACACCGCCACGAAAACATAACCTTCTTGGCGAAGGTAATTACTGAATATTGGTGTTGTCATTATTATACTAGAGTATAGTGTTTGTTAATAGGTAGCATCTGATATAGTAACCACTGTGAATTACGAAGGCCGTAACAGAACACATACGGGGTGAACAAATCGATTGAGGGGGTGCAAGATCACCAAAGGGGTGCGAGATCACTAGTGATATCGTTCCGGGGGGTTCGAGATCGCTAGTGATTTCGCTCCGGGGGGTGCGAAATCACTGGGGGTGCGAGATCTCTGTCACACCGGAACTAATGCAGACGACAGCGGTGTTAACGTTGTTTTTCACAAGTCGGTTTTCTACTAAACAAACACTCTGATTCCGAAACCAAATTTTTTAAAGCTTTATTTCTTATGTACGTGGCGGTTGTGTGACTGCTTGATATAGGTCGTATATTTCTGGACACGAGCCGCCGCTACGAAGTGACCCTCTTTTCAGCGCCACCATTATTACTGGTGAAATTCTGTTTTTCGACAAAATGATAGATAAATATATAGAACTATACTTTGCGTGCAAATAACAGCTGTGTGTATTGACTATGTTTATTTACCCTTTAACTAGCAAATTGGCAACAGACACGGTGTACCTATGCATAATAAAAAGAAATGAAAAAAAAACTTAAGATCAGTACACCCCCCCCCGTTATACCTTTCGATTTGTTGCATCTTGTTTAAAATGGCCCCGAGGGCTTTCTTTATATAAATTTATATCGTCAGATTTTATTTTATTCCATGCCACCTTGTATGACCAGGTATGGGAGTGAAATATATTCTTCTCCCTTTGTCAAATGGATTCAAATGATATGAAATTTAGCTGGATTTGTGGGGTTTGATTTGTCCTATTCAAGCATTTGAAGACGAATTCACCCACTTCTATGAGAGTTCTTTGATTTCAATAGTTGAATTGTTTTAACATGGTCGGGAATAGTGAGAAAGTAGAGATGCATTCTGGACACGTTGGTAAATACATGTATACGTTCCAGCCCCATGTGGAACCTCTGAAGGGAAATGTTACGATAGACGAATCACCTCCATGTGGATCCTCTGACCTCATTACACAATCATGTGCAGAAAGATTAGAAAACTGCACGGTTCAACAGGCGACATCTCGGATAAGCGAGGCAGGTATGTATCAATGAGCTCGGTTGACCAAAGCCAAAGGAACGGTGCAGAACTCGCGCAAGCCCAGCCTGACAGGCGCTGTGGGAGGCGGATGGTTGGCAGGCTGCAGATTTGCTAGGCAACTATTGGGGACATGGGGGATGCTTGACCTTTCTATATCGCTGCTTGGGGGACTGGGAGAAACCTTGTGCTCCAGACTCATGTATCATGCCGTACATCAAGATATACATCTACCACTCCCCTCGCTTTCCCAGCCACCATTTGGCGTGCGCCTTTCAGTTTGGTTGGGTCAGGTTATGGCAGGTTACTAGACTTAGTTTAGTGTTAGTATTTACAGGAAATTATACATGGAATTCAATTAAATACACTACCGGAATACACATAAATGAAGAGTGACACCGAAATGCAGCCTGATTTCACAGGTTGCTATATTTCGGCACGACATAATGCTTGCATCTCCCCGGGAACAAGAAATCGCCAGAATATACTTGTAAGAGAACGCAGCTACGGCTCTCCCCTGCGAGTAGCGGTCAGGCTGAAACCTGTTGTGTGCTGATCAGGCTCTAACCTACCGTGCTGAAGGCGAACCTGCCCGCTTTTGTGCCGATGTTCACCCAGCCTCCTGGATCCTTACTGCTCGGACTCGGTTGGGTAATGGATACGAAGGACTATGTCGCTGTGGTTACTTTGATCTAAAAACGACTGAAACCCTGACAGCTCAGCTCCGCGCCCCTCCTCAGCTCTGTAGGCTGCAGCTAGAGGAACAACGTCATCGCTTACGTCTTCAGCTGAGGAGGCCCTGGGCAGGGAGGACCGCGCTAATGACGTCACGGAGGCTCAGGTCCCCCAGGTCAGCCATTTAGTAGAAAGCAAGGCAGAAGAAAGTAGTCCTCTATGCTGGGGAGTTTTTCGAATTTCAGAGTCCCAAAAGAGAAAAACAACGCAATGTTTTCCCCTTCCCATCTGCTAGGACAATACCCAGGCTGAAATCACGTCGCTGGAGTTGGTTGTGGCACAATTTGTGGGGAATGGAGCAAAAAAATTGTCACAGGGGACTGTACAATACCGCATATAACGGGGGTGAAGATAATCATAAACCATGGGAATGGACAATGGCCGCCATATTAGGGATTGTACACTATATTTGGTGGGGATCGAGACGAGATAATTAGTAGTACATGTATAATCAATGAGAGAATGGAACATCCCCCATGGCTTATACTAATAAATTTGACAGCTGCCGTTCTCTTTAGGGATTGTACAGTACTATATTTGGCAGGGTGTGAGACTAAGGAGGTTTAAAATCAATTTAGAATTTAAAATGAATTTAATTTCAATTAAAAAATCCTATATTAAACACAACCATTCTGTGTGGAACCGTTTGGGTTAAGTATACAAAATGAAGAAAAAATCTGTACTAATGTAAAAGCAATCACTTTTTGTACTCAATAGTGCCACACTGAAGAAATCCAGTCAATGATGCTAGCATAAGCAACAAAACACAAATGGACTGTACCAAGGTCCTTGGATGTATAGACTTAGTTATCAACAGGTTGGTTGGGATTAAAGCCCTGACTTTGTGGTTCATCATACAACGGCACACTTCTGTGTGCGCAAACATTTGCAAGCTATTCTATAGGAGAGGTACGGCAAACTTGTAGAACTGATGTTACTTTTCTTTGGTAGGTTCTATCATCACATAGGCTGAAGTAATAAGCCAGGCTGAGCAGTGGTGAGTGGGTTGGGTTGGGTAACATGGAAAAAATAGAACATTTATTGGTTCTAAGATACTAGTACTGGGTAAGAGCCATCTACAAACTGTCCATATGGACAGCATACTCTATTTCAGGTTTCTGTCATGATATACAATCATCACACCCATCCCCACATCATTACATGGACACATCATAATATATATTTATATATATGTATATAGTTATGTGGTTAGTGAATAAACATTAAATTGAGTATGCCATCAACACCAGCCTGAAGACTTTCTGTTACTTGGTGTTACAACGACTGCTGAACAACCACTGCTGGCTGGAATGATCATCCTCCCAAGGAAGGGAGGTTCATTATACAGTGCAAGAGTAATGCCTGTGTGGCAGCTTGCACCAGAACCACTGCAAATCATACTGTGTTGTACGACAGTGTCTCACAGCACTGTTTTGATTTTGAGCAATGTGTCTATATTTTTTAGTTCACATCCATCAGACCTGTATACAATATTCCTTTGCAGTAAACCTATGGTACAGTATTCCTTCCTCTCCCTTGCGCTATAATGTTGTAACAGAAGCTGCCTGGCAAACTAACAAAATCAAGGCAATCTCCCCAAGGACTTCATGCACCTTGATCACGACACATCTTACAATTCCATCATTGTCAATAATGTGAAAAGCATACACTTCACAGGCACATTATCAGTGAACACTACGACAAATACTTACAACACTGTTAGACCACTACATGGGTTATCTAATACAAGTCTACCCATGGCAATAATATTAGAGAATGTACTAATATTTCATTTAAATGCAGTACAAAAGTTTACTGTATAAAAATAATACTTGAATACTTGAAGCTAGCATATTGTACACATGTGAGAAGTAACTAAAATATCTACATCCTATAAACAGTTACACAATAGGATTCTTAGCATAGTGGATTGTAGACCAAAACATGGGGTACAGTAAGTAATTAACATAACTGGTTAAGATGCAGTGTGGTGTTCCAATGTTGCTTCTCAACCTACACAACAACAAAATATGTTTTCTCCACTGTTGCTCTATACATTGTTATTGACAAAATGCATTGTTTAGAAATTTCACGGGAGATACTACGGGTATGGCTTGACTGCTCAGGGTTTGCAGAACCCACAGTTCGTGTAGAAACAACCACATCTTCATGCTCGGATGACATGAAATACTTTAGGTCACATATCACTAAAATGGCTCCCTCCTATAAATACATCTATGATATCATACTATTTCCAGATATCTTGATTCAAAGCTGGGGGAATCATTCAGAAAACTGTCAGTAACAAAATCCTATTGAGAAACTTGTCCAATGAGACTTGCATGTTACAATACACTGATAGCACACATACCAGTACTCAATATTGAGTACAACAGCATTTTACAATCAGTAAAGAAACTCTGACAAAAACAACAGTCTCAGGACTGTAAATGTAACTTTATACATGGTTTTGCTTCATCTGGCCTATACAGCACATATTTACCTGTCAACAAAGTGAAACTCTCCCTCACATTTCTGTCTCTTGGCACCATGTGTTATGAGTTGTGAGGTATCGTTACTAGCACTGCTTTTCCTAATAATATACATAGAACTAACATAGGCATGACAACAGCTACAAATACTTCACTACAGCTATGTACACAGAATACATACAATGACGTTTGACTTGGTCTGTGCTCCATATGACTAGAGATTGCCCGTATTTCTACCCAGGGCTACTTGGTCAAATGTACAATAAATAGTAGGCAAGCCATAACTGTGGTGCCTGTGTACCAGTAAGTATCTGATTGTATACAGCTCACAAACTGTTAGACACAGAGTAAAAAATCTGAGATTTTTTTAATCATCTAGAATTCAAAGGTATAACAGATCCGCTGATTTGCATTGCATAAGTGTAGTAAGATCTTTCTGAGACTTATGGAAAGATGTACAAAACTGCTTTTTCTCATGTAATCCCACCCAAATAGGACTCCAGTTATATGTACTCTACTGGCAGAAATGTGCCAGTCACATTGATCATGTTGTTTGCAAGGATGTAGATCAAGTCAGTTTTTCCATTTCATTTGTACACTGTCAACAACAAATAGTTCATGAGTGCTGTGACCCGCTTCCGTTTGACAAGTTGAGGTTTGTTGAAAATTTTTGTATGTGAATGTTTGCCAATGAGGGAGCTGGAATTAGGAGCATGCTTAAATCAATTACAGTTAATTGCATTTAATTCTGATATGGGTAGCCACCAGCCCTCCACCTATTGCTTGTATAGCACTAGGATACATATTTGATTACCTTATCATACTTATTAGAAATACATCAATACCATACACCTAATACATCACCATTTATAACTGGATACACAGCACTGATACACAATACTGTAAACATTACACTATCCCCAGAACACCATCTTTTCAACAAGTACAAAATACTGGTAGTAAAAAATGTGTACAGGTGAGGACAGGAGACAATGCATCTTTGCCACCACGTCATACCACATGAGATTGACCAACTAAACAACACAACACAACTTTGCTAGTGTTGGGTTTAAAATCCATCAGTTGTTTTGGAAAGCCCAGCTGGTCCATAATCTTGCCCTTACATCTAAATGTCGAAAAGAAAGTCGATGCATTCAGAATTCATGTGGCGTTTATATTGCCACTGGTAATCTAGCTTTCTGAATGTCTGACATAAAAACTCAAGTACAAGACTCCACGTTAACATTTGACAGTCGAGACATTGTTGGAGCAGCATCTCAAATGCCTCCATGTAACTGGTTTACAATAAAAGACCAAACAACACCAGTTTTAATCTCTACCCTTCACTACTGTGTTTGTGCCAATGTCTGTGGCTGAGTCTTTGGTGGGCTCTGCTGAATCTGAGTAACTGTAAAGGTGGTGTGGGGAATCCCGACACCTTGAGACCCCAGGCTTGAAATGGGCGATCCCAAGGTTGAAACTGTCGAACCAACAGTCGAGGTCACACTTGGACTAATCGTTGTCCCGACTGGGGTGCCAATAGTGGAGACCGCCTGTGAGCCGAGGGTGGAACCTACTGCAGAATCAATAGTGGACACTACCTGCGAGCCAACAGCAGGGCCAATGGTGGAAACTACATGGGAACCAATCGTAGACCCTAATGGTGACCCAATGGTAGAAACTGCATGAGAGCCAACAGAGGACCCTATAGGGGAGCCAATTGATGACACAACATGGGAACCAATGGTGGACCCTATAGGTGAACCAATCGAGGACACAACATGGGAACCAATGGTAGACCCTAAAGGTGAACCAACAGTGGAACCTGCCTGTGCACCTAAGGTGGAACTCACCTGTGCACCTATGGTGGAACCTATCTGTGGGCTAAGGGTGGACCCAATTTGTGACCCCATAGTTGAACCTATGGGAGAACCAATTGTGGATGCTATAGGTGAACCAATAGTGGTGCCAACAGTTGAGGCAACGGTAGAGCCCACGTTGGTTGAAATCGGTGAGGTGACAATTGTGTCTGCTTGGTTGAGGGAAGACTGTGGGTTGATCCGCTTCTCCTTCTGTCGCCGGTTACAGAACCAGACCCTGACCACCTCTTTCTCCATTCCTAGCTGTTCTGCTATGATTCCGATCTCCTCTGAGGTGGGTTTGGGATTCTGGATGAATGCTTTTTCCAAAGCAACCCTGCAGGATTAAAATGCATATTTATTTTTATTTATTTCTGTATTCTTTAACCAGGGTAGCACTAACTCAGTGACATAGCACTGCTTTACAGAGTGGCCCTGGGTACGACACATATATACACGGAAATACAACAATATATACACCAAAAACAATATCATAAACGTGATCCATTACTTGTAATCGGGGTCATGCCAGGTCGTAACGGAGGGAAGTCAGAGGTCACGTAACTGAGCATACAGTGTTCTGAACATCTGTATCGACTGTGCAGTTCTACACCGGGTGTGAGTTTATTCCAGTCCACTGCACCTTGATAAGCAAACATTCTCTTGCCGCATTCCAATCTAGCTTTAGGAAGTCGAAGGGACTGGTTCATACGGTGTCGGGTGGAGTAGTTGTGGGTTTCTAGGGTTCGGTTAAAGATGTCTAGGTACTCTGGCAACTGGTTGTTTATCGACTTTCGTACAGTTTGTAGGAGATGCATATGGCGACGTGAAGACAGATCTTTCCAGCCAAGGCTGGATAGATGATCAGAGCTGACGTGATCTATATGGTAAACCTAGTATTATTCTTACTGCTCTGTTTTGAAACTTTTGTAGATTGTCTGATAAGCCTTTCCCACAATTACCCCATACTACATCGCAATAATCAACTTTCGGTAAAATCAAGCAATTAAATAACATTGTTAAAGTGGTTTGTGGTAGAACAGAAACGAGTCGCCGAAGAACACCTAATCTTGCAGACACAGAGTTTGTCAACTTCTCAATATAGCATTGCCATGTCAGACAATGCCATAAAAAGTCATGGCATTCGGTAGACTTTCGTTTTTGAGATATCATTGTTCACAACAGTAGGTCATCCAGCAAAGAAATGCACCCATGGCACAGGGTGATGATAAGATGATAAAATAAATACAGCCTCCTGTAAAGTTATCATGACATCTACATGTATATACTGTACACTGTACAGTAATGGTGGGATGTTAAAGCCCATTCTAAAACATTCCAAAATCAATGTTCCCAATCCCTACCTAACATTGGTCTCAATGCTGGTTCTTTTCTTCCGTCTCCTGCCCAGCATTTCAATGCTTCCATGGGGACTCCCTAGTGCCCCAGGGTTGGCCATGCTGGAGTCGGCATCCTGTAGCCATTTCTCCAGCAGGGGCTTCAACTTGCACATGTTCTTGAAGCTCAGGTTGAGGGCCTCAAACCGTGAGATGGTGGTCTGACTGAAATCGTTCCCATACAGTTTTCCCATGGCGAGGCCAACATCTCCCTAAACAGCAATAGGAGAGACAACTTTGAGTGTACATCCTTGTCTACTGACAGTTTAGAAAAGTTCTGATCTCGTAATGTTGCTCTTCCATGTGCCACTCAATGAACCGAGGAGACAGAATATGGCATTCTAGTTATCGTCTAACATCTGCAGTTAGAACACATTCACACACCTGAGTGAAGCCAAGCTTGATGCGCCTTTGTTTAAACATCTTGGCAAACTGTTCCAACTCCTCCAGCTGACTGGGCTCATCTCCAGAAGGGCCTGAAGATGTCACTGCTGACTTCTGGATCTGGGGTAGAGATACAAAATGTTATCATTCAGTCATCTTGATGAGTAAAAACTGAAACAGTTAAGCTGCAGTATTACTTACAAGAAGGCAATGGTTTTTAGTATTTAGACAACCTAACAAATGGTTTACCTGTATGGTCTGTATTTGTGGCTGAGTGTGAGTGGTCACTGGTAGCTGGGCCTGTGAGAGAGTCAGTACTTGCTGGCCCATGGTGGACACACCCTGTGTGGTGGCGACCTGCAGAATGTTCTGCTGTGGAATCTGCTGCTGTGACGTCTGCAGGATGGCTGTTCCCTGCTGGGTCTGTACAATGGTGGGCTGGGCAGCCACCGTGGTAGTCTGCTGAGTGGTGGGCTGGGCCTGCGTTTGAGTCACTTGAGGTGCGATCTTCAAGGGCAGAGGAAAATGTGTTGAACAACTCATCAATACATGTCTTTGTTGCAAAGAACAAGAAACATCATACATTTGTAATGCAGCTCTAAATGTATTACTGCTTACATTCAACTATGTAATGTGCAGACCAGGTTTATCCATGTATTAGAAACAGAACATTTACTCGTTGAGACACTGTCCTCAGGACTCAAATTGGAAGAATGACTGATCATTAGACTAAACTCTGTGTAAGTAACTCATCCTGGTGGACTCACCTGCTGTACCTGTTGAATTCCTGGCATTTGGGGCTGAGCCAGGAAAAACTGACCATTGCCAAGCTGTAATGTGTTAAACAGAGTAACTGAATCAATGTCTGTTCCTGTAATCATTGCACATAAGCCATGAGAAAGAATTACACAAGATGTGTCATTTCTCAAGACCTCATAATTAGCTATCGCTTGAAAAAAACTTTCTTAGTTAAATTGACAAAATTTGATAGACATGACAAACAAGATAAGCTTCGATCTCACACCCACTTTTGTCTTTTCATCATACAATGTTGAAATCATCATCTAGAAACAACATGTTTTGACATAAGACTTCTAGCAAAAGCAAGATTTACCAATGATGACACTGGGAGGGTGAACAGCTAGCCTTGGTAAGATTTTGATTTGAATCGTGGAACAATTATCATTGAATATTTCTAGGTAGATTTTATCAGCGAGATGTTGACCACCATTATGACAGACCTCACACAACTTTATCAGACCTGTATCTAGAACACACTGACCTGTCCAGGCTGGAACAACACGTACTGCTGCAGGTTGAGGTTCTGCTGCTGCAGCTGCTGCAGCTGACTCAGGTCTGCAGCTGTCAGCTGGATGGCTGAGGTGGTAGTCTGTGAGGACACAAGTTCAATATATCTACATACATGTGATGAACTATTTCATGGTAAAACAGAAATTGAATAATGAATTTTCATCCCCCTACCCCACCGTAAGTCTATAAAGGAAGTTAACCTGCGGTGTGACAGCTATCTGTGGGTTCTGTACAGTCAGGAACTGTTGTGGCTGCACAGCCTGCTGCTGCTGTTGCGGCTGCTGGTGCTGCTGGCTAACCTGCGGCTGGATGGCTGCCAGAAGGGTTCCCTGCTGCACCTGCTGCTGCAGAACAAGCTGGGCCTGGGGAACAGAGCACACCATGTCATCTCACTCCTCTGGACCGTTCATATCAAACCTACCACAAATACCCATCACTATCTCATCCATGATGATGTGTTAGCTAGCAAGACAAGGTCAGGTACCTGGTTGAGCAGCTGCTGCTGCTGGTGCTGTGTCAGCTGCAATTGTGACACATTCTGCACCTGTTGCTGCGGCTGCTGCTGCTGTTGGTGCGGTGCTTGTGTTTCTTGCTGCTGCTGTGATTGCTCCAAGTCCTCATTTTTCACTTCCAGGTTTAATGATGTCTGCAAAGACCATAAAATCAACTCTATCATATAAAACAGCCTTTTGTCACCCTTAATCCAATACCGTTACCAACAACAAAATATGTACACAGTCTGGTGTGTATCACCAGCTAAACAGACAGATACCATGTAAGGCATTTCCTCTCAAGAATGGGACATACTGCGGTAGATTCAATAACTAGCAAGCCAATTTAAAGAAAATGTACAGCTATCTGGGTGGTTAAGGATAATAAAAAGTCCTAGAGAGACCTTACCTGTTGTGCTGCAGCTTGATTTGCCTCTTGCTGTAGTTGTGCTGCGTGTACATGGGGATTGATATACAGAACCTGTGGTTGAGGCTGCTGAAACAGAAAGCATCAACATCCCTTCATACAACTGTTTCAAACATGCAAAGTGCCAGTAAATGTACATGAACTTATGTGAGCAATATACTTAGTAGTAAACCGATCCTGATTGAACACGTTGAACCGCCCATGTTCTATTTTGAACATCTCCGTCAAAGTCAATGCAAGAAGGACCGCGCTGGCCACCGGTGCCAAAATGGGAGAAAATTGAAATGAGAAAAACAGCTCAGGTATTCACGGAGGACGGCACAACTTATACTTTTATAGGTCTTTCTGATATGATGTAGAAACATAAGCAAGTGGACACAGACACTAAACAATTATTATAGCTTTATAAACAAGTACAAGAATAACAGAACATCTTTGATTAACTTAAGTACATCAGATGTCACAAATTCAATCTCCCTTTTAAAACAAGGAGCCTCTATCAAGCAGACATCAACTAATCTTGCTACTTTTAGATTTCCCAGACTGATTTTGACGGATGTGTCCAAAATACGAAGGGAGGTTCGAGATGTTCGATCAGGAAGTTCAGTCTATTGTGTAAAGGCCATACCTGTTGAGAACTCTGGTGCAGTGCATGCTGGTCCTGTAGTTGTTGACTCAGTCCTGATGTTTGACTAACAAAATCTATCCCATTCACTGACCCATTAGCTGTGGTACCATCATCTACCAAAACAAAACAACTTCAATGGTCAGGCATTGGTTTGAAAAACTATGGAACTAGCATAATGCTAAAATCAACAGTTTTAAATTTGTGCATTGGGCACAAATCATATAGAGTAGCTTAGGACCCTCAACTTTCCAATATGGAAGAAACATATACTTCACAACAATAAAGACATATTTCAATACGAATCCAGTGTAACGTACCCTCAGATTCTGCCCCCTCCCTCATTTTCTGTACATCTGAGGAATCACCTCCTGCCATCTTTATTAAAGGGTCTGACAAGCCAGTGTTTTCTACAGAAAGAGAAAAGATGTGTAAGTACCATAGAGAAAAGAAGAATTAGAGAGAAATGATGTGTAAGTATTATAACTGTAAAGAAGGTACTGGTCCAGACTCGTACCCGTACCTTAACTAAGCAAATTTGGCCAATCATTTCTAAGTTATATGTGTAAGCCAACTGCCTCTTTTACTAGCTATAGTATGTTGCTATTGTTGTATAATGAGGGTTTACATTTTTTGATCTAAAAACAAAAGTTTTCTTGATTTCCAAGAGCTAAATTATCAAAATTATCACCTTTGAGATACAATTCATCTATATTTAGTTAGTGTAGAAAAAGGTGTCCCCTGGTGTTAATTTTCATTTTACTCAGGTACAGATAAAAGTACATGGGATGTTTAGGTCTGAATCCGTACCTATATAATTTTACAGATACAGGTACACATTTTAGGTACATAGCCCTACAATGGGTACTATAGCTCAATGATAAATATTTTACTCTTTAAACACATGACTGATGGCTACACACTAAAATGTAACCTTGATTTTCAGACAAGCCTGTAAACATGGTGGGGCCAACATCAGGTTTACCTAATTAAGTTAGAAGTATTGACTGTCAAGTGAACAATTAGTAATGCTAGAATTGTTTCAATGCAACATGAGGATATATATATAAGTTATAAATGTACTGGTAAAAAAACTTATCATCAAAATTGTTGGTGAACTACACCTTTTGCTCATTTTACTATTTTTTAGTGACAAAATATATACAAAATGTGTTTTCTACATTGTGTCTTTTCAAAGCTGTAAAAAACCTTCGCATAATAATTTACAAATATATATATATCAATATATACATGAAAACTGTTGACACTAAACTCCATTTTGTGTTTTTAGTGCCATTAGACCATATGTGTGGAGTCTGATGTGTTTGCATGCAAGAAGATATCACACCATATCTCTAAAATTTCGTGTATCCCGTCTTTACTTACGGGTGAAATTGTAAACATTACTTGCGAGCAAGATACTCAGAAAGATGACCAGTCATTTCGCAAAAGATTTCTTCCTTTATATTTTGTTGATAGTTACTCTCTCTCTCTGTGAATATCTTAGACTTGAGGAGACATCAATCCATTCAAATATAGAAAAGGTCAATGTATTTATGTTGGGTATGTCACAAGTGCAGAACCTGATTTCCACTGACAATAATATGGTTCATTATAAACATCAATGTGCCGCCCCCCTCCCCAGTGACCTATTTTTAAAGATTACCTATTGGCATTCCCTGTCATGTACAAAACCTGTGTATTGGAGAAGACAGTGTCCCTTTTCAAGCGTTGTGTACCGTGCACGTGGGCACATTTCTCAATATTCATCGTGCCAACAGTCTGGTTTGATCCCTGAGATGATATAAACTGTCCACAGACAGGCAATCCGCCCAGGGACGCCAAGATGTCGGCAGGGCGGTATGCCCCATACATTTGACCGTGCACCATAGCCGTAGCCCTGCCAAGAAAGAGGTGTCAACTTCCACTTTGATGCCCGCGAGCAAGGCCTCTGTAGTGTTATTTGTGGACCTAATTGTTCATTAACATGTGATTTTACTAGGGACGGCTAGATTGCCGCGCCCATTGGGCAAAGTGCGAGTGATTTTCATACGCGTATATTCAAATCGTCCCCGTGTATGACTGTATCACTTAGCACGCGGTCCTTTGTTGTTGTCTACTTCATTTGCATTCAGCGGCTCTCTTGAATTTTGGAAAGCGGTCTGCCAGACCACGTTCAAGCAAAATCACACAATACGCGTTCCAAAGGCTCGGGAATGGACTACCTGAACGTGTAGTAAGTTGATCTAGAAAGAATCGCTGAATTTTACGGTAAGCATCGACGAGTGGTCTTGACAGATTAAGAATGCAACGGCGTCGGCAAGCCCTGGCAAGGGGCAGGACGCGATCGAAAATCAACGCGTTTTTTAGGCAAAACATCAGACTTGAGAACAAAAACCACCCCTTGCTTTAAATTCAAATAGATCAGTAAACGCTACCCATACCTAAGGAAGAAGAGGAATGTCCAGATTTGGCAGAAATCACCATAATATTTACATTTCTTGGTGACACCTTTGGCGATGTTCGGGGCGGCAATGATCCACATGAATAAGTCCGTCGCAAATCGCATCACAACTCGGGGCAAAATACTCGGTCAAGATCATCAACTCACGATAGAACACACATAGAAATAACATAAATCAAAGATTCTGAACATAGCAATCAAATAAAGCGCAAATAAATTATGCTAAATTGAAATATGAATATGTAAAACTGGGCCTTACCTTGCTTTTCATCTTTCGACGCTGCCTCCGCCATTTTGAATACCAATTTTCTACCCAGGATGCACTGCGTGTAGCATAGTTGGGCGTTTAAAACTTGGGACAGAATAGGGGTTACTACTCTCAAAACTTGCATTACGTAGTATTAAAACATCATCAATATGGATGTATTTCCATAATTTTCAATGTAAAACATAATTATAAATTGTTTTATACAATTAACGTACCCAAAATTTCAAGAAAAAGCAATTTAACATATTTCAATATAATAAAATCCCCCTATAAACAAAATGCGAAGGTACCATTGGAAATACAATGCCAAGGAATGATGATTATCATCACATGGCAGGAACAAAGAAAGGCCAAATCTGTCAAAAATGTCTGCAAGAAGCAAGGAGGTTGATAGAAGTAAAGTAAAGAAAATGAAATATATGTACTCATGAAAATTAGATTTCATAGCGCGTCATTTCAGTTGATGATTGATGTGCACCTGATGTCAGATTGACTCTACCGGCGGATTGTGAAATGTCCATAATCCATTATTCACCGTGTGCAAGGACATTATACAACACGGAACAAGAGTTACAATTGAACGTCACGTTACCCAACTACATTACTTGTACTTTTCAACAAGGACAAGGCGTTTCCTTTGACCTTAGGCTGAAGTGTACCCAAATCTACTGTCACGATAAATCAGTGCATTAGGAAAAGTTTTCGTTGTTATTTTGAAAGATTCTTTACATGTCATGAACTTCAGATTTCAGGGACGGGTGGGGTGAAATTTCCGTCTGTCCCAACAAGCAAATTTCCGTTCCGGGATAAAGTGTGGTCCCATTGAGGAATGAATGGGGTTCTCTTGCCCTTGACCGTCACGTTCTGAGAAAAGAGACAATATCTATGTTGTTTGAGATCCGGTACGGATGTGTGTTTGTCAATTCATTTTCATTTCCGTGTTTTGCTAGTTGCTACTTCAGTCACAGTCTAGAACAACCTAATCTCCGGCAAGCAGATGTTTAGGTGGCAAATGCATGGATACAGTCTGGCCAATGGATACTGCTTGGCCAATTTGATACTGTCTTTTGTGGCCACCTAAACATCTGCTTGGAGATTAGAACAACCCACATCTTTCGTCATCAACTGGCTCGTGCCCCTGGTAATAACTTTGCTTCCGGCTACTTTTGTCCGCTCCGCTCCATTTCATAATCGCATTGTTACATGGAGTAAAATTAAACTTTTCCGCTTTAGCGTTGTTGCGATGTAAAAAAAGTCATTTATTCCTATGATCGAAAGACAAAGCTATGTGTAGTGATGACTGTTGCACTTGGAACGCATTGCATAACTCCCGGCTTTCGCCAGGTGTCATCTGACCGTCAAACGTGCAGCATATGAAACGATTAGTATTTAAACCTTGAGTATTTAATCTCTCATGGTTCTGATTTATTTATCACGGGGCGTTATAAACAACTACATACCAAAGAAAGCAAAGAAACTCAGTGGAGAGCGTCACTGTAAGTGTTTTCATGTTCTGGCACAGCCGCTATTGTTTACACTTCTTAGCAGTGGTATGCCTTTGTGGGGGCGGAAGGGAATAATCCTATGACTAATGATAGTCAGTGTTTACAGTTTAGCATTTGTCAGAAGCGCTCCACCGCAACTCTCGAACAGCTTTTGACTACAGCTTGTGGATATATTTTGAACATCATAGATAGCTCAGATTAGACCAAGGACATTCTATATGAAATGTACCATATTCGTCCATTTTTTAAATTTAATCGAACTCGATTTTAACTGTCAGCCGGACGACCGAACAGTAATAAAAAATGGCAACTTATATGTTCCTTCACAATATCTGCCAGCTGAAAATGACACACAGCGATACTAACTGACATATTTTGCAATTTTTGTCACAAGTGATCACAAATTGAGCAAACCAATGCGCATGGCTACTACATAAATTATACAAAGGACTTCCTTTGTCAAATAACAATTTTATACCAGCTACGTAATACGCGTGATCTAACACCAAGAGCATGTGGTAACCCGGGAAAGTTTATTTTAAGTGCACCTCCATAACTTACGGGCACTTCGCCCCTTCCCCCTTCCCCGTCTTAATTGCTCCAGTAGAATGGCACAGACCTCAGGTGTAACGCCAGACTGTACACAATGCGAACAGCAGCCACACATCAGTGTTGGAACAACCAGTCATATATCATGTCGCTCGCTCGACGCTTCGCCTACAGCATCCCCACACATAAACAGATACAGGGATACTATCCCCAAATCCCTTTGCCTTACTGTAAACTAAAGTATCAGAATCTATTGTGGAACTTAAGAAGAGGGACGAGGCGTCTGCAGGTAATCCATGTCCCTGAATGGCTGCACTAAACAAATAGACCTTCTCTGCATGTGTACCTTACGTAGGTTTAGCACACAGACTACTGTTAATAATTCACCCGCCGATGCCAGGTACCAAAGGTACGGCTGAGTCAGGCTTTGCCCACAGAAAACCGTTACATTGTCCACAGAGTACCCGTGCGCCGTGGCCGTTCTGTTGCGAGACTGCCCAGAGACTTGTTGCAGTAATTTATCGTTCTGACGAATAGTACACAACCTAAAGATGCGCATAATAATCTTCCTCCCTCTGCTGGCCTTGGTGCACACGACAGGTGAGTCTTTTTCGTCCCTTTTCAAACTCTCAGTCCTCCAGGTGTGGACGCGGTACTGTACAAACTCTCCTGAAGGTTCACTGACTTCCAGATGAACTCTAAATACAGTAAAAAGTCGAAATTAGCCTTAGAGAGGTTTACAGTAGAAGCCACAGTTTAGCTTTGTGAGATGTACTGTACTTAACAGGATTCAGAAATGCAGAATCTCTATCGATAGACAGCAAGTCTTGAGAAACGAAAAAAAATGGCGGGGCGGTTGTGGGGACAAATACTAGTAAATCAATGTACACTTACCGTGGTAGTCGTAACGTGGCGCCACAAAAAAAGGCACCCGTACGGGTGGATCTTTTTTCTTTGAAGGTAATGAGACTGAATGTAACATGAGCCAAAGCAATACAAAGATGTGTTTAGAAGGTCCGTATGAGTATGAACTGAATGTGTGATGGAAAAAGCGAAGTGAAAAAGTTGCTGGATTACAGGGTAAAGCGAACCAAATGGTTGAAACCTGTCTCATGTAGTTACTGTGTCTTTCCTAGGGACATGGTTAAGTAAAATGCAAATGTGTTACTTCCCATGTTTGCAACGATTAAAGTGTACTGCATGAGTCACATTTCTCTTGAATTTAAATTCTGACCATGCCATCCAGTGGTGGCTGGGCGGGAGAATCGTTGTTTACTTAGTACAGGATGAGGTAATGGCGTACCCTCAACGGTTTTTGTGAAAACTGATTTTACTATGATAAGACTAAGCAACATTCAAATTAACTTTTAAGTTAAAAGTTTGAAATATAATCTTCGTAATGGAATGTAGAATGTTCTGAAGGAACTGAAATCGAAGTTGGGCGTGTATTTTTGTGCGCGTTCAAATTGTATATTAAATCTGAGTCATGAAAACATGTTAATCATTAACAGCAGCGGACAAGAGTTTCGTCATGGTAACTTCGTTCGATGTGGTGAATTTGTAACCATTATAGCGGCGCATGCTGAACTAGTACCAGTACTGGCGTGGGTAATGACGGCCTGTCAATGATCGCCCTCATTGGACAAAAAAGCTCAACATGACGAGTATACTTCCTCTGCATATGCTCGGACGAAATTGCTCTTCACAGTGATTATTCAAAACATATGGATACTATTAACTTTGCACATTTTATGGAGCAAAGTAGAAGCTTATATTCATATCTATTACATTATCACTATGACTTGTTTTCCTGAGGTTAATCTGAACTTATTTTTCTCTGGCAGCTGCTCAGCGGTCTGTGGCACTCAATGTGGGCCCCATCAACTACCGAGTGAATGAACTTGAGCCTGAGGAGCCGGAGCAAGCGACTCCAGTCACGCTTCAGTGCGACTTCAGCTCCGTGGGATGGACCATTCAGCCAGGCGACTTGGAGGAGATCACCTGGTGGAAGGAAGACTGGGACATCGGGGAGCATGGCTACGAGTGGGAAGACAGGGGACGGCACGAGGTCCTGAACTTCAACACACAGAGGAACTTCGTCTCCTACGGCACCTTCAACAACTACGAAGGACGCACTAACCTGGAAGTGGACGAAATGGGACGAAACAGGCTGACCATCACACGCGCTAACATCCGAGACAACGGAACATTTGTGTGTGAGGTGGAGCTGTTCAGTGGGACCCAGAGACACCGGGCAGAGGCCACCATGTACCTGGAGGTCCGCGGTGAGCAAGGCTATGCTCATACTGGGCGGTTTTATATATAGGATGGACAGGATGGATTGAAGTGTTAGCTGCATAGGGAGATTATGGGGTTTGAGAAGGCATATCTTTGTCTATTGTGACTTACCTTGTTTGCTGTCAGTCCTGGAATGCTCAATAGATGACCCACCGCAAGTCGGTCACTGGTAAGTTGCGAGGACTTCATCAACGATTTATTTATTTTTTGTTCAACAGCTAAACCGACGCGTCCAACAATCAGGGCCTTCTATCTGCCAGAAACCAGGGAAGTGATGATGATGTGCAACTCCACGGACGGCAACCCCGGCCCCACCTTGAGCTGGTGGAACAACACACAGGACAACCCGCGCGGAAGGGAGCAACTGTTCGTGGACGCCCTCTTCCGAAACTACACCAGTATCACAGGCTACGAAGACGCAGGTGCGACTATCCGGTTCCGTATAGATGAGGAGAGGAACCTGAACGACAGGTACAGCTGCGAAGCTCAACATCCACTGCTGTTCGAAAGGCGCCTGTACACAAACATCACCCTGGGTAAGTGTATCTATTTACTGCACATCTTTTGTCAACAATTATACCCTTATATTTTTTAGCCCCTGAAGTGGATAGGAATTCAACAATTATGTTATGTAATATTACATGTAACCATTTGAACCCTTTCAGGAGGTTTTCGTTTCCCAATGACTTTTCAGAGATTTTTTCTCATAAAGATGCAGGCAAGACCTCGCTTGTCATTTCTGAAAGTTCCAAACTCATAAAACTATATATATATAATGAAGACGTGACTTCGGTGCATGGACAACATCTGTAGGGTGTATTGGGTTACATGTACTTGCAAATACGCATGTATGGCTTGTAACTATCTTCCCACAGCTAGGCCAGGCATTCCGGAGATCCGAGTCAGCCCCTACATGGAGAACAACATCCCGGCCGGGAAGGACGTGGTGCTGGAGTGCAGGGCCAGCGGTCAGCCCGAGCCCGTGTACGTCTGGAGGAGGATCGGCCAGATGCTTCCCAATGGCCAGGAAACTTTCATCGGGGAGCACCTCACCATCTACGATGTGCAGTCCAGCGATGAGGGGAGATATGAGTGCACTGCTCAGAACGCGTTTGAGGAACGCAGTGCTGCAACCAGCATCATTGTGAGAGGTATGCTACATAGGAATCATGACGTTCCAGCTATCTCCTGTTGGTTTGAACATTTCCAGGTGACACATAATCGACAGTGCTAGATGATGAGTCATTATCACAAGTGGTATCATTTTAATGGTTTCATACAAACTATATGTTGCATCTTAGGCAAAGGACAGGTTGGAAAACAGTAATGTTGCCCAAATTAAAAAGTTACGCTGTCTGTCTAACTATCGTCTTCCTCCCTACAGCTCCAGAAAACATCATCAATGAGGTGGAACTGCAGGTGGACGACAGAGTCGATGCCTTACGTAAGCATCTTGCACTTAGAATTAATCATGATTAAAGTTGTGAGGGACTTTTTGGTGAAAAGCATTGCTAAAACACAAGTGAATATTTCTTTATCATATTCTAATTTTTTTAAGTAGATCGTGAATGTTTTGTATATACATTCTAGTGCATTCATTATTTGTGTGTGTCCATTGCACCATTTCCATATCAAATGATGTGACAATGATTTAAAAAGAGTTCGGAATTATCACTACGATACAAATTCCACCCGAAACATTCTACTAACACTTAAGTGGTAGCACATAAACTTAAAGGCATCTTTAGAGTTGATATTTGCTCTGCCTCTGGATTAAGAAGGGTCTTGTCTGCCTCCACAGTACGGGCTAAGATCATTGGTGGTGTGATTGGAGCCGTGCTAGCCCTGGTGGTCGTCATTGTTGTCGCTGTCATTGCTTTCCAGCTGGTCAAGCGACGAGGTAAGATTCCTTAGTGCTTATACAATTAAAGTTCCTGTTACTTGTCATATACCTGGGGACTCCTTTCAACCACCATTGTATTCTTCTGACTCAGTGAGATAGTTCAACTCAAAGTATCTTAAAGTTGTTTTCTTTCTGCATTGTCAGGCACTGCTAAGCACCATGATAATTTTCATATCCAGTTGAAAATGCTATATCTAAGAATTCTTTTGAATAATGCTACACAGTCCTGTATTGGAAAAAAACAAAAGCCTTCATAGAAATAATCCAATAATCCAAGTAATATCATTATATTTCATTGATGCATTTCTGATGTCTTATTTTGGCCCTAGGTTCAACACCAAATGTTTACAAACAGCCAACTCAGAGGTAGGTAGACACATGTATTGTCAGTATTACCACAGGAAACCTGTTGTCTGTACTAATTCCAGCTTCACTGCTTTTAATAGCATTATACAAACTTTAAAAGCAATGTCTTTATAGATATGTTTGTTTTCCTATTACTAATGCAGCCAACCAATCACTGCTGAAGTAACAGCACTGGAGATGGAAATGGAAGCCCCTGAAACAACACCAAAGGTACAGTACTTACTCATAACTCTTTAGCTAGCTTGTTCATTTGTTCAACCTATATTTGTCCATGTAAAGAAACAAGAATAACTTAATATAATAGTATGAATGTGAATATTGTTAATACTCTACCATGGTGACCTGATAATGAGAGTTAATAATATTTGCTATGTTGCAGGAGAAGGAAGCAGCTGAGTATGCCGCCCTAAAAGACTCGGAGGCATGGTGAGCAAATCTTACCTTAGACCTTATTACACCCCAGAGTACATTAGGCAGTCCTGTTCTTTCCTAATTAATGGGCAAAAATTTTGTTTTCCATCACACTAACAATATTCTAAATATTTTTGCAGATCTCCGTTGCTGAAATCAGATGTGTTTGAGCATGTTTGTTCATCAACAAATGTTGAGAATGTAGACATAGTTTTTTTTAAGTAGACATTAGATTCTGCATTTTGTGAAAGGCAATGACTGCAAGTTACTAGTACAAATGTGTGGTCCATTGTGTTAAAAAGAATACAAGTAGCCCCTATACAGTATGCACATACTACACACACATGCTTTCTTTCCTTCTCGCATACTTCCACACAAAATATACATGCCATAGTGTTTTGGCTTACACTGATACGTAAACCTAACATTGAAATAGAAAGCCAGTAGTATAATTAGCAATTCTTAGGAGTATCTGTAGAACATCAATGGTGAAAGAAAGGAATATCAGTTACACAAAATTAGTGAAAAGTGCTCTGTTCAGTTTGTTAAGTATCACTGAAACATAATGAAATTTGCTTGCTATTTTTGTCAAGCTGAATTATAATAGATACAATCATGATTCCCCTCATTGTATAGATTTCTCACGTGAACAAACGCTTCATTTCTTCTTTACATCCTTCCCTACATGTCGAGTAGCATACCACCAGTGTAGGATAATAGTGAAGCTGGCCAGGAAAATTATGACTCAATATTATTACTTCTGTATTAATTTGCTATTGCTTTGGAGACTGTTACATGCAAGCAGACTTGTGCGGTGTGCTTACCTTCAAATGGAATATAGCTGTTCTTTGAACACAGCATATTGTGTGTTATGTTTGTTATTTGCAGTGCGATTCTGACGAAAGACATAAGCACCAAAATCTTCATCATATGTTGCTTTGAGTCAATTCTGCGTCACCATGTGGGTTGCTATTGTCATTATTCATCTATCAACATGTAAAATGACTACTGACTTGCTACACAAAACACATGACTCAGGGTCTTGTCTCTGAGAAATTTATTTTCATGATGTTCTGACTTCCAGACACTTTACATCCTGTTATCATCATCTTTGCATGCATGACAGAAGCACAACTGCCTCCAATCCAAGTTCCTCTTATTCCATAGAGATCTCTTGCAAGCAAATAACACATCTGTTCAGAGGTCTTCCTACTTAAAGACAACAAGTAGTCTGCTAGTCTCATCAGTCAAACAACTTTAAATGGACAATCCCATTTACCACTGGTTCAGAGAACACACACCGTATTAAACTTACAAAACACAAAATGCAAATCAGGGTTGAAACTTCACAATAATACTGTTCCATATTTTCCAAGCATACATGCTCTACAGGTATTCACAATAGAATATACATATTCATGTCCTTGGACAGTCAGTCATTATCATGCATCTTACAAAAGAGATTTTGAAATTTCCTTATCCCTATGTACAAGGCCTTGTTAGACAGCACACAATATTACAAGGAAACAAATTCACAATACAGATCTTGAAGCTTGTTTCACACTTCTTTTTTATACATAAAGATTGCAGAACTAGTGTTTACACAGATCCACCTTCACCTGACAATAAAACCATTTCTGTCTTCTTGAACAACTTTGCACATGTACAGCATCAGTGACTAGGGATGTATGGCATTTCGTACCTGACACAGTTTGACACAACGAGAAAAGTTTATATTTATAGGATTGACCAGCAAGACAACAGGCCAATGTTGAGCACGTGCTATATTATGTAGCAGACAGAACTAATATTTATTCTAATGTTGACTTGTAAAAACAGACTTTTCATCTTTTTTAAGAACATGTTAACAATTAGATGGACACCTTTTGTCTTTTCACATCTATGAAAAGCTAGGAATAGTAGACCAAATATTCACACATTCACACACCACTAAAACTATAGAGACCTTTCTATACAACATATTTGACAAACTAGCTTCTTGTGATAACAAATCTCCAGACAAATGTGATAAATGTTTTGTGGTGAAAAGTTTGTTCAGGTCTTGGTAGGTCTTCCTTGGTTGATTTAGGTGGCAGTTTTCTTTCAAATTCATGACAAAGCAAGATCCGTGAATTTTCCAAAGTCCATCACTCTGGCATGATTGACAGCAAGTCCAATACATGTACTCCATGTGCACTTCAGGAACACTGGTAACAACAGCAGAGTGACATGGATGCATGTCTACCATATCAGACTGCATGGGTATGGTTGGGAAACATTGACCCGACTCTTCAAAGCAAAGTAGAGCAGATTACTCACAAAATCTGCAGAGCAACTGTGATGTGGTATGGATTCAGGAGAGGACAGTGACATCTACCTAACAAGCCTCCACCTGGCATAGCTGGATGGTATTGTGGCTGTTAACCTTCTATAGTCAAAATGCAAACATCATGCCTAAAGTTCTCTACCTTCTAAAGTACAATTGTAGACATGTATGTTGTGGAGCATCAGCAGTCCAGTTCTCCCTTGAGCTATCCTTATGAAGGTTGCCTGATGTAGAGAGTGACAGGGACACAAGCGGTTTTTATCACACTCGTCAGTCTTGACTTGAGTCAACATAACCTCTGAAAACTGGTACACTTGCAAAGAACATGACTACCTGAAGACAGTGAGGCACCAAGTTGCAACAATGACAAGACCACAAGCTGACAAAAGACAAGAACAATATGTGTCATCTTATGGTGGTAGCAATAGAGTTAAAACATGTTGCAACATGTTGCAGGGTTTGAGGTACAGTCATGTTACCCTCCTTCCAAGGCTCACTCACTAATGTTACTTCAAAATTCAAAGAACTAAGCTCCTTCACCATAAATTGTTTGGCACATGCTGCAGAGCGTTTAAAATATTTCCAGAAGAGAAAAAAAAACATGGCAGGCAAGAAATCCTTGCTATCACTAGAAAGCTTCCTGGTGTTCCTTGAAGACCAAACACTTTCCAAGTTTGAAGATGTAGTCAAAGCAATGCTTATATACGAGAATGACAGTCAACATCTAAAACGTCAGAACCTGTCTGAGTACTGGCCGTTGCTACTCTTGCTCCAACACTGATAAAGCTCCAGAACTCCTGTCAGAGATTGAGAAAGTAGCAAGATTATCTTTACTTTTGTTAAGTCTGTAAGGTCTGTCAAAGTTTTGGCCAAACAGCATCATATTTTGCAAGAACAATAGGATCCTTGATTGTCAGATAAAAATGACAAACAATGCCTTGAGAAACAACATTCTTCTGATTCTGATTCAAAACACACTATTCTAACATTAAAAGCATCCCTACAACATTGGTTGCAACATGCACACCCAATTGAGCCTAATGTTGTTTCTGCTGCTTTCCCTCACTCAGATATACTTTCAGTAGACAAACCAGCTCCATACATATACATATTGAAACAGTTTTATCATGGCTCTACAATAACGGGGAGGTGGAGGCCATCTATTGGTCCTATTCTGTTTTGTATGAATGTTACAAGATGATGGTATTACAGTGATTAACTAGAGTAAGAACATTTTGTTACACTGTTACAAAAGACCTTCTGAAGCTCATCAGCTGAAACAAACTGCCATTTGCAATACTATCAACCATCTCCTGTGTAGTTCACAGAATAATGAGGATATCCAGTACTCTAAAAAGCTCCTGAATCACTTAAGTTACCACATCCAAACACAACCAGCTTCTAGGAACACCTGCACAGGAGCAGCTACACATAAATTACATCAGGAGAAGACAAGGACATCAACACATTCATCCAGAAGGCAGAGTTGGCAGGATGGTAGGAATGAGTTTTTTCTTTGTAGAAACTCTTACTTCTCTGTAACATGTTGACAGGTACTAATATTTATACAAATAAGTAGCAGTTTTGCACTCGTAATGCCACAAGATTATCACAATGACTACAAGTATTTTGCACTTCTTGCTCTTCTTTAAAAAAAACACACCTGGCAATTATCCCATAAAAAACCTTCTACAGCTATTCAATCACAGGATGGGAGCCAGTAACTGCATCAGTTGACTGCACGAAAACATCAATTGCACAAGAAAAAACATCAAAAATTTCTCCCCTGGTAAAAGAGATTCTTATAGGTTCTGTACATTGCTACGCTATCACTCCATACTATCACGTATCATCACAAGAGGTCCTATTGAGGAAAACAGAGTTGGTTGTAGGAATTTCTACTATGTTTGAGAAAACATTGGTGCTTGTGCAAGAGACCAGATACAACTTTTGTAGGCAACACTCTGCCTATGTCACTTGCCTTCCACTGTATAAGACTGTTGTATTTTTCTTGTAAGTTTACACAGCATCTTTGCATAAAGACAGTGCTTGGAGTACAAACCAGAGAATGACTAGCAGCAGGACCTGTGCATACACTTCCCCCTACACCTCTGTGTCGTCGCCAGTAAAAGAAAATCCCTTAAACTCCTCCTGGTTGATTGCCTTCACCACTGCATCATCAGTAGGCGTAAGAACTGGCTCCTCTCGTGTGAAATCTTGATCAAAGTTATTGGCATCCTTCTTCGTTTTCTGATGGAAAAAAATAGAAAACACGACCAAATGAAACAAGAGGCAGCTAAGCTAAGCTCATGTATATATGTAAATAATTGCACTGGAAGACTGCTCACATGCACAGAAAAAATAAAGACCCCTTAGTATTGGTAACCAAGTTAAATCTGACCTGAGCAAGGAGCTGATTTCTGTGAATCACATATGAAGTTGACATATGAAAATAGTTACTGGTCACTGAATACTCACAATTTTTGGTCTGAAGGGCGGTTTTACTCTTCTATCTAACAGTGCTTCCCAGTCTATGTCTTTAAAGAAAACATGTTGTTTGATGGCAGCCTCCCCTCCCTGAGCAGCAACACAGCCCAACCGCTTGGCAGGGTTCTTGGTCATAAACTGTGGAAGGCAAACACAATCCACTGTAAAGTGCTCATGTAGCCACTGTTCTCCTCCCTGTCTCAATTCAGTTCAGCTACAATGTCACCTTTCATTCTATCAGCAGTTAGGACAGAAAAGATAACTCCTAATGTTATTGAAGTTGACAAATCTGATATGATGAAATAAGATCAAATATACAAGTATGCTATTACTCACAGCTTTTAAGATAGCTACAGCTTCTTTGCTAAGCCATACTGGATACAAAACATCATCATGCAGGATAGATTCAAACAGGTCATCTTCATTATCAGCCTCAAATGGTGGCTGGCCGGCCATCATCTCATACAGCAGCACCCCCAGGGCCCACCAGTCACAGGAGGGGCCATACTCCAACTCCTGCAGGATCTGAAAGGGAACAAACTGTTACGTACATACCTGTCTCAGGATGAGGGGTACACAAACATGGATACTACAGTATGGATACTACAGTACTATAAGTACTGCCATGTCATGTCATTTCTTTCCTGGAACAGTAAGTTACATCAAACAGCAAATGAAGATGGGAGCTGAGACAAGCAAGGACCAATTTCTTACCTCAGGAGCAATGTAATCTGGTGTTCCACAAAATGTGGTGGTGAGCTTCCCGTTCAGAATGCCCTCTTTACACATGCCAAAGTCGGCAAGTTTTATATGGCCATCAGCATCCAAAAGGATGTTGTCCAATTTCAAATCTCTGCAAAGGAGAAACAAATGAAGTTGCACCACTCAAGACTATCAGTAATTCATCAACAAATGGCACTTGTGTATGAGTAATGTCTCAATATAATGACATAACAATGAATTCCATTAGCGATGAAAGTGTTTCTATTTATGTCAACAAGTACCTATGCTAGCAACAGGCTAATATAGGAGGGTAAACATTCACAGATGTGTACACATTTCCATAATGAGCTTTTGTATTGTGAAGTGTAGCCTCATACACAGAACATACATACTTACCTTCACCTACAATATGCAAGGCACTGTTTACATTGAAGAAATACACAAATTGTAAGATGAATTTGTTTAAGTGCACATGCTCACAAAACTGTACATGTATCTACTGCAAGGAAAATAGATATATTAGTACTGATTTTATACTAAAACTAGAAATGTTTGTACCAACCTGTAGATGATTCCATGTTCATGTAAAAACATCAGAGCCAGAATAACTTCTGCAGAGTAAAATTTCGAACGTGGTTCGTCAAATTTTCTAGCCCGTTGAATCTGAAACATCAGGTCCCCTCCATTCACATACTCCATGACAAGGAACAGGCGGTCCTGGGAAAATGAACAATGGATGATATTAAACACTTCTAACATTTACCAACTTGAGCTGACAGACTAGCTTACTGTAGTAAATTATTCATCGGTCAATCATACATCAAGTTACTGAGTGAATACAGGACCAAGAACAGAACCATAGCAGACAACTGGTTGCAAAAGCCCAAATTGGGCAAATGTAGCACAACATGATATTTTCATCTGGTCTAATACAGCACAACATAATACTTTTAATTGGTTTTTGGTTTTATGATAAAAAGCATGTCGCAAGTTAAGTAAAGAAGCTCAAGAAGCACATGGCCAAGTTTCAGTTTACCAAAAGTATTTAGTCACTCCATTTTCAATTGATTAACCCTTGCAGACTAGACTGTCCCTGTCTGGCATCACTACTCTAGACATCAGGATGGATTCAGCAACATAGGCAGCAGCACAACAATACACTCTGGCATCCCTACCTTAGTCTGAAAGCAGGCGTGCAGTGCCGTGAGGAAGGGGTGTTTCCTGGACAGTAGCAGGACCCTCTTCTCCGTCATGGTACAGTCCACATCATCGTCCTGGATGATGACGTCCTTCTTCAGCACTTTGATGGCGTAAACATCATCAGACTCCTTCAGCTCTGCCAGCATCACCTGCACATTCAGCACAACGCAAGCTCTCATGCTTCTGTTATGCATGTTGTGGTGCCTGATGCAGCAGTGTAATCCTAACTCATCTATTGTAATCATCAATGTGGGATGTGTCAAATATTGAGACATTTTCAAGTCTGCTACCCAGATGTTAAATGTGGAAGTGGTGGATCTTGGTGTTACATGTAAATTGCAGTGGTTTATTCTGCCCCAAGGCAAATGTGGTAGAAACGACTTCACTAACGGCCAGTTTGTGGGATGAGGACAAGCAAATGTGAGGAAAATATAGCCCAGCATGATGGTGTGTGCAGGATCTGATGTTGATGTTGTTCTGACTGCTGAATTACTGGTGTAATTACTATATCATCTGTGTCCAATTCTTTAAAAGGTATGGAAAATTATCTTTTCATTTCCAAGATATGAATTTTGTGAGAAACAGTTCAAACATTAAATGCTGAATTGGTATAACCAACACTTCATATAACCACATCATGAGGGCAAAGATAGCTGTACCTTGCCAAAGCTGCCCTTTCCTAGAACCTTGATGAAATTGAAGTCGTCCAGCTTCAATCTGCGATGTCTTATATCAGGAGCCCCAGACAGGTCAGGTGAGGTCACGGTGCTGTTACTGGATGTAGAGCTGGCATTCTCCTCCACATTCTGTGGTTTCTCATTCATGTCTGTGCACGGCTTCTCTTTGTCTGCAAAACAAAGCATTCTTAGTCCATTGCAGGTACATGTATCTTGTTCACTTAATATATCTACTGTAAGCAACACACACACACTGTGCACATGTATTTTGTAACACATTATTCAGGATTCTAGAAAACATTGTATAAGACACAAATATAGCACCTATTCATTCATTGCTTCCCTTTTTTTAATATCTAAGAATTTTTGGGCAAACCTATCAAATATCAGCACATAGAGCATACATACAAATACACAGAGCATTGTCATATATGAAGGATTACATACTACAAAAGCTCTAATGAGAGCAGGACACTCAGTCTATTGAAAGGTCCATTCAGCAGGCACCCTTACCATCTATTCTGGGGGCAGAGTGTGGTCTCTTGTCCTGTTTCTCATTGTCTCCCTTTCCCTCCAGCTCTGCCTTCTTGGCTGTGTCATGAGTATTGGAGGTCTGTACCACACAAGCAGTTCTTTGTCAACAGTGGTTGTATTAACATCATCAATATGACTTTTATAGATATAAGACACTTCACATATTTCAGACAAACAAAATGAATGAATACAGGATGGTACACCTATATAGGATACCTTAAGACCAAAGATACAGCTTATAAGATATAACATTATATGAGGCTTGGTTAAAGAAACTCCACAAGTAGTTAAAAGTGTATCATGCTCCAGCTCAAAAGAGGATAACTGCTTTACCTTTTTTAGTATTGGAATGCTTGCCATAATGCCCAAAGGTGAAGAGTGCAAAGAGCCATGCCAAACTGATAAAGGCTGCTTCATCAAAGAAAAAAATCATAGGACAAGACAGCGAATAAACATTTTTTTTCTGTTGGGAAGAGGGTATTCTATTCATTCTAATATGAATATATATGTCTATTGAAAAATTCAGAACAAAGGTGTTCTGTTTCAAGCAGCCATCTTGCCCTTTTTCTTTCCTGTAGGATACAGCCTCCATTTTGTATTTCCACTGAACCTACCTTTAATTTCTTATCTTGAACCCATGAAGCTGGGACTGTTTGTTTCAAAGATTTCCACAGATCTCTTGCCTTGTTTACCTGATGGGGTCTGCCCTGATGGTAAGCCATGGAGCCGCCCTTCTTTTTCCTTGGTGTTAACTTGTCGCCTGTGAGGCCGAGCTCGGCCAGTTTCAGAGCGATCTCCTTGGGGTTGATGCCACAGTTGTGCGCCACGTTCTTCTGACATCTCATGTGCACATTCATCTTGCAAGCTGTGACAAGAAACACAAAAAATATCCTCCCTACAAAGGGTGTACATCGCCATGATCAACCAACTTTTTCTAAAACAAGTGCTAGTGGAAAGATGCCTTTTTTTCACACCAAGGAGGTTCACTTGTTCACCTTTACCTTGTAAATAGCCAATTTGCCTTGTTGAAAAAAAACAGGCATAACATACTCATTAATAAGCAGGCAGACTTATAGCAAGGCATTTATAAAAACTTCTGCAAGAGCCAAGTTCAATAACGGACATCTCACTTCAAATTGGGTCCTAAAATCTGAAACTTCATTGACACATATTTAATAAAGTAAAGTTTGATCGCTCAATGTATAATTCTATCACTTACTACATGTTATATGGGTTTTTATTGGTCATCTATTAGATTATTGTACAGTACTATTAGCTTTAGCTGTACTGATACCCGGTTATTGTTTAGACATAAAGAAAACAAATACCTTCACATTGGAGCCCTTGTTTAAAAAGTCCATACAGCAAAGATCCACAATGGTCACAAAAGGTAGGGCGCTTGTAGGTATGAGTACTGAATCGATGAGGCATGTTGATACTAAATCTTGAGGTGAGAAACTGCACAGATGAGAAGAAACTGTTAAATCTCAAGAAGCTGTTAACTATTACAATTCATTTTAATTGTCATCATTTTGTTTACATTGTTGTTTTTATGACCCATTCCTGATGGAATACAAAACATTTACAACTGTTTTGTACAAGTTGACTTCCCAGTGAAATTTAATAATAAATTTCTTACTTTGCTCACTTCAAAATGTAAAACTAATATACCCCAGTAATGTTTCTTGTACAAAAATTCTGGTTTGATATAAGGGCATGGGGTAGATACATGAACCTGCCTAAAGATGAATTAGTATGAAATCTACAAGAAGAGATGTTTTGCATATTAGGTATCTCTACCTCATCTTGCATGGCTTCCTTCTGTCCCGGACACTTTGTAACGACCAGTTCATGGCATCTCTTGTGAACCACACAGGTACAAACTGAAAAATGTGGAGGGAAAACATATCAATTGCTTGCAAATAGGTACAACATCTACTCCTATTTGGGTGCATGACTGCATGTTGTCTTCAATAACAACATGAATTTCAAATGACTTAACCTGAACACAGGACTACATGAATCAGAAGTTATGGACTATAATCTTTATACCTAATGAGATATCTCTCTTTCAGTCAAAAGGAGACCTTTGTACAGTTTATTAGGAGCTTATTATATGCTGTTGTACACCCACCTTGGCACTGGTATCCTTGCTTTCCAAGAACTCCCCTGTAGGTAGGCATGTGAAAGGGGTCAAAACAGTTCTAAGAAACAAAACTACCTGGATTAAAATCCCAGTGACACAAACTAGGTACCAAACATAATTAGGCTGGAGATGTACTCAGTTTAGTACTCAGTTTAACAGTAATGTACTGCCTAGTTCCTGGAAGAGATTGTAACTCCCACAGCAGACTGACAGAAGTAATTAGAATTGGATCATCCCATTACTGATGATGATTCCCGTGCTTGTCAATTACAAACACCTCTTCTGAGAAGGCACCAATTTTCTGCCACTTTTTCCAACAACTATGGAATGTTATGTTATGTTATGTTATAAAGATGTGACAAAGGTTTTTCTGACAAGCACAAATCCATGCAAAAAAATGCTGCTGCTGATAGCAGCACTGACAAAAATTCTAAATGCTAATATACAATAAGTGAAGGCAACACCTTATGCAACATCAATGTTATAATGAGTGACAGCGTATATAGATCTGTAACGTTTTCCCTGCTGGTTAACTTACCAAATAAAGTCTCTGCAGTGAGAACAGTACGTTGGCTGTCGTAAATAAGTGGCCATGAACTTGTGCCCATTGACCTGGTGGACACGTCGTCGCATGGCATTTTTCCGCTGGTGTCGGCCCATGCCGGGTCTGAAGACCTTCTCCGCCGCGGCAGAGGCTGAGGCAGAGGCTGAGGCAGCGGCTGTGGGGGGAACAGCATAACTTACAAAATACTCAAGAGTCATGACAATAAGCAAATGTTTTATTCATAATTCGGAACAGGTCGTATTGTTTTCCAAGCTTTAAAGGATCTATGACTACGCTTTGATCTCAGCTTTATGAACTGTGTTTTGACATCATCATGTCCTGAGACTTTGTTTTAATATCAATTTACAGTAAATAGACATGGACTGAGGCCTGTGTACATCATAGAGGCAATGACTCACTACTGTAATATACCATAATTGTTGATATATCAAAATCACTGCATTTGCCAAGAAACTTTGGGATGATCCGACAGCCTTCCAAGGGCAATGAAATGTCCACTGGTTGATAACAGCATGTGCATGAGACTAATATTTCATGTTAGAGAACCTATTTTTTAAAGCATGTCTACCAAATGCCACCTTACCAGACTCACAGGCAGCACCTTTCAGCTCCACTATCAGGTGCACTTTACCTGCAGGCTCCAAGTCAACCTGTTGGCATAAGAATGTAAACATGGAGGTTACAATGACATATGAAGCACAAATACTGGTTAGAACAACAATGGTACCATCATTTCACTTCAATAAGGCTCAGGTACAGGTAGAGTAAAAACAGCATACTAAGTTAAGTAACTTGATGGGCCATAGTTCTCGATGACTCACATATACACCATTAGCCTCACATCTGCAATGTATCTTTCTTACCTTCTAAACCATCTTAGCAGGGGTATTAATGCAGCAGATATGGTGGTGGTCATAAAATATTGACAAGATGTGTTAATGTCGGCAACTTGGCATGCATTCAGAGTGGTAGAAGCCAGAGAATTTTCCCAATGACAGCATGGCGCTATCTTAATATGTGCCTGTGACACTAAGTGGCTGTAAATACTTGTACCATTGGCTAAAGACACAGTACATACCACCCTCCCATGCAGGAGAGGCAAGCCGTGCAACTGCAGTGATTACATGTCTCTATGGCAGTCTGTGGCCATACTTCCATTTCAGAAATTTATGCAACTTTGATAGCAATAAACTTGTGCTACCAGTAACTGAAAGCTTACAAAAATTTCTCTATCCAATATCTTGGTTTTAATATGACATTATGCACAGACTACTAGTATGCACACACTGTCAAAAGTACAAAATGTACATGGCATGGTTGACAAAATTTTCATCTGACATCTGAATGTTGCTCCAACGTCCAAGCATCATTAACAAATTTTATTGAGTAAATCAGGTGAAATATTTGTCCCTTCCCAATAATATATATTCCAGTGTAAAGAGCGTAATTCTCCGTCCACAACTTGAACTTGAAACCCAGGCCCTCCAATATCAATTCCCCTTGCCCACATATGACAACATATGAAATTCAGCTCATAATATGCTTTGGTCAGATTTCAGATGTGTTAAGGCATTCTCCAATATCAGGACTTGAAAAACCACCTGCAAATCAAGCAAAATTGGAGCTATACCAATGTATAATATTTACTTAGGTACCTTTATCTCCTACACTGGTCCAAATAATGGTACACAAGTTGTGTATGGAAATTTTTGTTTGCAATACTGATCATTACCAGCTGTACTCACACCCTGGCACATTGCACCCAGAAATGGATTCATGTTGAATTTATGAGAAGGGAAATTTACTTCTAACCTAATTTTTGGTACCTGTATGTTTGAACATTGATTTTCTATCATGAATGAGAATTTTTGTGCTTATCTGACTCCAAATTGAAAATGTGTGGGAGTGAATATTTGGCTTTTTGGGCTTGAGATTCATATATACTAGTAGCTAGTGAACTCTATTCTAAGGAAGCAAGCATGATTTTCACTCAAATCTGAATGTACAAAAGGTGCATAAGGCAGAGGGACATCATGTACCCCCCTCCCGCCCCCTGAACTTTATCAAAATATGTATACAATTTTTTGCCAACTTGCATGTAGAGTGTAATTCTTTTTCAATGTTCATAGTCAGATTAATCTACAGTAGTTGCTGATGTATGATCAGTGAAATTTCTGCCGGTCTCTATTTCAATAAGTAGTTGTGTCAACCAGTCCAACCAGACTAGTAGTAGTACCTCATCAAGGATTCTACCTTACTAGTACATGTTACCTCAATATGGAGTGATAGACTTTCATGCTCTATTGAACATCCACAAAAGTACAATGATTCCATCATTACACATACCTGATTTGTAGGACTAGATCTACTATTATTCTATCACAATAACCAAACTAAATACCGACATGACATGTACATTATCCTACAAGAGGGGATAACGTTTCACTCTAGCCAGTTGTTGGTAATATCTAGCTCTAGTAGACCACATTAGGATTGTCCTGTGGTCTGACTCTGAAGCTACTGTAACACACTAAATATAAACAGCCTATATCATCACAAAAGCTTCAATTAATCTCCTAACCCCAATACCAGAAAATACAGTACATGTATTTGGTTTATACAAGATTGATCCTGATGACCATTAGACCACAAAATCTGCATGTACTACCAGGTAATGGCTTGTCTTTGACTACGATTATTTCTCCCATGCATGAACAATCCCTCAAAATGTTCATAAATTAGTATATAAGGAAACCACAACAATATCTCATAGTGCTCAGGACAAACATGGATCAATACCCTGCCTACAGTACTTATTTAACCACTACTTGTTATTTATTTTCAGCTTGTTCTATTTATATTCAACAACAGCATTATTTATGAACCAACAAATAACATTGGCAAACAGGGTAAATGGACCCATATTGCATTTCAGACCTGTCCTGGGTATGTTAACCTGAATGAAAAACAAATAATTACACAGCTGCACCACAAAAGCACATTTTCTTTTTTCAGCATGCACAGCTAAACCTCATGCTTTGCTTTCATGACAGCGAGCCATTTAACTGTCAGGTTCTATCATTTTCCTCTGCAAGTACCCTTCATTTAATCCACATCAAACCTGTATCTGTAATAAGAGCATG